AGGCTGGGCTGGCTGGTCCTCTACGGCCTCGCTGTGCTGCTGCTCAGCTGCCTGCTCTTCCTGAACAGGGCGGCCAAGCCCACAGGGGCCCCCAGCGCCCGCCAGCCCTTCTGGGCTCCCCCGGGGCCCCGCCACAGCCCGTGTCCACCCAACCACACAATGGCTAATGCCTCCCTGTCCCTGCCTCGCCGTCACCGTCTCTTCTTGACCTATCGCCACTGCCGCAACTTCTCCATCTTGCTGGAACCTTCAGGCTGTGCCGAGGACACCTTTCTGCTCCTGGCCATCAAATCGCAGCCCGGCCACGTGGAGCGCCGTGCAGCCATCCGCAGCACCTGGGGCCGGGCGGGGGCCTGGGCGCGGGGCCGGCAGCTGAAGCTGGTGTTCCTCCTAGGGGTGGCGGGGCCTGCACCCCCAGCCCAGCTGCTGGCCTATGAGAGTCGGGAGTTTGACGACATCCTACAGTGGGACTTCACTGAGGACTTCTTCAACCTGACACTCAAGGAGCTACACCTGCAGCGCTGGGTGGCAGCTGCCTGTCCCCAGGCCCACTTCACGCTAAAGGGAGATGACGATGTCTTTGTCCATGTCCCTAATGTCCTGGAGTTCCTGGACAGCTGGGACCCAGCCCAGGACCTCCTGGTGGGAGACGTCATCCGCCAGGCTCTGCCTAACAGGAACACCAAGGTCAAGTACTTCATCCCACCCTCCATGTACAGGGCCCGCCACTACCCGCCCTATGCAGGGGGTGGAGGGTATGTCATGTCCAGAGCCACCGTGCAGCACCTCCAAGCAGCTGTGGAAGAGGCTGAGCTCTTCCCCATTGATGATGTCTTTGTGGGTATGTGCCTGAGGAAGCTGGGGGTGAGCCCCATGCACCATGCTGGCTTCAAGACATTTGGGATACGGCGGCCCCTGGATCCCCTGGACCCCTGCCTGTACAGAGGGCTCCTCCTGGTGCACCGCCTCAGCCCCCTGGAGATGTGGACCATGTGGGCACTGGTGACAGACGAGGGGCTCAAGTGTGCAGCTGCCCCATTGTCCCAGCTCTGAGGGGTGGGCTGAGCGAGTGGGCTGAGTGTAGATTTTCCTGTCACAGAAATTGAGAAACATGAACCATGATGGTCTCCAGGAAGTGCTGACTTAGTTTTTGTAACCTCCTCCCAAACTTCTCTAACGTTGATTAAAAACACTGGAACCTGGCTAACTTGGATGGCACGTGTTGAATGGGAGCCCAAGCATAGCAAATGCTGCCAGAAGTCCCCAGGGTGGGTGGGTGTGTGTCCTGGAGTCCTTGGGCTCTGCCAGTTGGGGAAAGGAGGGTGAAAGTGGGAGGCTGCAGAGGATCCCAGAAGACACACACAAATATCTTTTTTAAATGCAAAAAAATTATTCTTAGATACAATAGAGAAACTCAAAGGAAAGGACATAAGAAGCATGTGTTGGAGTAAGTCCTGTTGACAGTACCAGTCCCTTAAGAATATGAATGGACTTTTGGCTCCTTGGCCTGGGCTGTCCTTATAGGGCAGTGGGGCCAGATCAGAGAAGACATTAGAAGCACTAAAAAATAAATCTTGCAAACAGGACAGACTCCTCTCTCCCCTCAAAACTCATTCCTATGAAGGGAGCAAATACTAAATCCTATTTGAATAAGACTAGAAAATGAGGTTAAAACGGCTACTGAACTTGTGGGCATGAGAAAAGGACTTGCTCTGGCCAGGTGGGTGAGATGCCCTGTGTGGGAAGTAAAAAGATCGGTGGGTGAGAGGGCAGCTGTGCTGAGTGGGGTGCAGCGCCCCAGGATAAGAAACAGGTCCAGTACGCGCCTAGACTGGGGGGAAGGGGCCAGGCACTCACAGCTCACAAAGGCCTCCGCCTAATGGGCCAGGGCAGGACCTGCTGCCTCCTCTCCCTGCAGAGAAAGCTGTGCCGACCCCAGGCTGAGTGGCAGACATGGGCAGTGGCTCAGGCCCTCAATCCTCACGCAGGTAGGCCTCCTGCTCTGGCTCAGCCCTGTCATCCCCCTCCTGTGTTTTCTGACGGAGTTCTTCTGTCTGTGCTTCTGCCAACTTGGTCTCCGCTTTCTGGGAGAGCTGGCGGACCTCCTGCACCTGCGACTTCACCAGCTGAATGTGACTCCTGGCGGTTATAGAGGCCTGATCTGCTCCTGCCAAGAGATCAGGCAAACAGGGCAGGTGTGAGCGGACACAAGGAAAGCCGGGGGCTCCATGGCTGTCATCTGAGCCCCTTCTGGAGCCACTGTCCTCCCTGCCAGCCTTCTGTCTGCAGAGCAGAGAAGTAATTCCACATTCAGGTGTGCATTTTTTTTATTGTCAAAATTCTAGCATATTTTTCCAGCTATGAGCAGCTATCATAATTATTAAATGTAATTGCCACAATCTTAATAGCTACCTAGCTCTTAAAATAGATGTTTTGTGAATTTAACTTTTTTACTACACAAATAATATTGTAGAGAACTCAAATGGCACCTCCATAGTGAAGACTAACCTACCGGTGTGGTACGCAGCTTCAGCTGCCATCTCTGAAAGACTAACTGCAGTCATCCAGGTGCTCTCCAACCTCAGGTACTCTTGTTGCTTTGAAGTCATCTGTAAATTAAACAGTGCTTCAGACAACATGAAGAGGTTAAGCCCATTTAAACGGACTTATTAAAAATGATGGATTTAGAGAACTGACTGCTTAGACACCTGCAATCAATAATTTAGACACCACCACAAGGCAGGAGCTGCAGTACAGAAATACCTAACTTGCTGCTTACCTCAACTCTGGCTCCTATGATCACCTGCCACACTTCATCTTCCTCCTGTGAATTCATTTTCCCCAGTAAACTGGTATATTGTCGATACAGAGAAATTAAGGTATAAACAGCCTACAAATACAGAATAAACAAGTCTGAGTGAAATAAGTGAGGCATATGTGGTAGGATTAGTGAGACTCACACCTGCAGGAGATGGATGAAGCCCCTTTACAGCAAACAGGCCCTTCAGTCCTCAGCCTCACAGACACACTAATGTGGGAAGTAGGGTCATTATTCCAGGATGGTAGCTCCACTTGAAAACTTTGGTGTTTTTAAATGTTTGTTAGGAATTCAGACAGAGAACAAGGTGCAGAGGGGAACTCAGAAGGCTGAGAAAAAAGCTGCTAGAAAATAAAGGTAAATATATGAGAATTTTAAATGATTTTGTTATCCACATACTCTAATTAGCTCACATCAATGGTTTTCAAACTGTCCTTACAGAGAAGCCCCTGGTGGTGGGAGACTTTGGATCCTTTCACTCCTAACTGAACCAAATCAGCTTGGCTCTTCTGTCTTATAAACTGGGCTGTTATATTTAAGGTTTTTCCTTAAAAAACCAGTGCTTTAGATCAGGACAGGAGTAAATATTTTAGGCTTTGTGGGCCCTGTAGTCTGTTACAACTATTAACTCCCCAAAGCAGTCCTAGACAATACATAAACAAATGAGCCTGATCATGCTCCAGTTAAACTACAAAAGCAGGCATCAGTCTAGCGTGGTCTGTGAGCCAGGTTGCTGACCACTGATCTAATGACCAAGATTTAACAGGAGGACACTTACCTTCGTATATTCTGTGATGGCTTCAATCAATGCATATGTGGTCTGAGAGAGAAAGGTGGAGGTGCTATCTGTTACCAGAGACACAGCCCTCCTCATTAGTGCATCGTTACTAAGAGAATGAGGCTCCGACTTCTGAAAAACACAAACATTTCCACTCAGCTTCCAAAGCCTGAGCTGAGAAGGTGGCCACAGCCAGCCAAGCGGGAACTGTAATTCTCATGCCGCACCTGCACTGCGCTGCTCTGTATCAGCTGCTGCTTTTTAAGCTTTATTTTGGCTATTTACGACAATAAATAGAAATAATCCCAGAGTATACTTTCCATCTATTTTTATTCTTTAGTCTCTGCTCCAAAAAGCAAAGTATTTCTTTTTATAAAAGGTAAGTAATTATAACCAACACATTTCATGAAGTTATGATTCATTCATTACCACAGCGCTAGATGCTTGGAATATAAAGATAAAAAAAGACATATTCTCCGCCCTCAAAGATTTCACATGGGGAGAGGGAGGGCTGGAGCTCACAGAGAACTTGAAACAGTAATGCAATCAAGCATTGTGAGAGCTGTGGCAGAAGCCTGTCAGGGCTACCGTGGGGGCCCGCATCGGAGAGCAGTCACTTCTGTGTTGAACGAGAACAGCCTGGAAAAGGCTATAGAGTTGAGGGTTCAGCTGAGTAGAAGGAAGTAAATGGGCAACTCTGAGCAGAATGAGCGGTACAGTCTTGGTGGGGACTCTCCACTCTGACCTCAGCTATTAAGTTAAAAAAAAAAAAAGGGGGGGGGCAACATAACCATCTGACTGCCTTCTGCTTCTTCAGCGGAGCATTTCCTGCATGAGAACAAAGAAACCGACCCTTCTATCACCCGTTGTCTTGTTTTTGCTACAGAGCAAAACACAATCACTGCCTGTTGAAAACAGCAGTCAAGAAGTATCTTTGATACATGAGCGAATCAAGATTTATCATTTTTGTTTTTCATTCAATCAAATAATTATTCATTATGTAACAGACACCAAGGGGCTAGAAAAGAAGGAATGACATTATCTGTGCTTATGAGAAGCTAGTTTTGATGTATTTTGGTAACTTTTGTCTTCATAATGCCCAATATTTTTCAGAGCATTTTCACCTGTTCCTCACAACAGTCCAGGTCTCCTCACTGCTTTTTTTAACAGATGAGGAAATGGAAGCTCAGAGTAGTTATATAATTTCACCAAAGAGGCACACATCTAGACCTCACACTGAATCTGTCCACTCCACAGTTTCCATAGGCTCTGTGATGGACCAAGAAGAGTGGCAAATGGATTATCACCAAATATGAAAATATACATTAAGTGGTCAGAAGAGATTGTTGGACAGGTGGCTTTAAAGAGAGGTGGATATGGGCTTGAGGAAAGGACTAGGATTAGTGGTGAGGCACCTGGGCTAGAAGAAACGAGGGAAAGAACACATGCATGCATGGATGTTCAGGAACCTAGCTGGTGGAGTGGGTGGCACAAGGAAGCAAGGCCGGCTGGGGCACAGGAGTTGAGTTCTGTAACACAACGGAGCTACTGCAGGTTCTGAAGAACAGAACTGCTGTTCCTACAGAACTAGAGGCTTCTATCACATGGTCCAGACTGAGGTAAATGGGGCTTAAGAACAGTACATGAACTGAGACAGGACAAACCCAAAATGTCCTAATTGTTGCTGAAAATGGCCTGCTGTCCAAGGGTTTTAGGGTTAAAGATTCATCAGTGTGCATCGATGAGGGCTGAAGTGAGGCACAAAAAGGTGAGGGCTCATGAGTGAGCCTCAGAGGGTGCTGAAAATATTTGTAATGGAGTTAAACTTCTAATTAACACATATAAATATCAGGAATATTTTGCTAAAATGGTTTCCTATTTAGTTCTTCCTGATAAAGCACATCACAGTTCCACCTAGATGTCTACTAGACATCTCAGACCATCATTTCCAAAACCAAACTCTTGATTTTTCCCTCCCAAAACCTATTCCTCTCCATCCCAGTAAATGCAATTCCATTCTTTCAGTTGCTTAGGCCTTTAAAAAGCACTGGAATCTAGGTTGTATACTCCACATCTAACCCATCAACAACCCCTGCTGACCACAGGTGGCCACTTCTCCCTCCCTTCACTGCTGCCCAGCTAGACCAAGCGCACCATCATCTCATGCCTGGACTCTCCTGGTCTTCTCAGTTCCACATGTACCTTTAAAAAGTTATGTCAGCAGATGACACCATACTACATATGGAAACTAAAGATCCCACCAAAAAACTATTAGAGTAAATGAATTCAGTAAAGTTGTAGGATACAGAATCCATATATAGAAATCTGTTACATCAATAACAAATGACCAGAAGTAGAAATTAAGAAACCAATCCATTCACAATTGCATGAGAAGTATATCTAGGGATAAATTTAACGGAAGAGGTGAAAGTCCTGTACGTACTCGACAGGGAAGAAAGAAACTGAAGGAGATACAAATAAATGGAAGGCTACACCTTGCTCATGCACTGGAAGGATAAATGTGGCTAAAATGTCCTTACTACCTAAAGCAATACACAGATTCAATGCTACCCCTACTAAAATACCAATGGCATCCCTTCAGAATTAGAAAACCTAATCCTAAAATTTAAATGGAACCACAAAAGACCCCAAATAACCAAAGAAACCTTAAGAAAGAACAAAGTGGAAAAGTACATGCGCCCTGATATCACACTACACTACAAAGCTACAATAACCACACAGTGGTACTTGCACAAAAAGGACAACAGAATAGAATAGAGCCCAGAAATAAATTCTCACCTAAATGGTCAATGAATCCCATGACAAGGGAGGCAAGGATACACAATGGGGCAGAGACAATCTCTTTAACAAGTGGTGATGGCAAACTGGATACCTACAAAAAAATGGAAATGGACCACATACAAAAATAAACTTAAAATGGATTAAAGACTTAAATATTAGACCTGAAACCATTAAACTGCTAAAAGAAAACATAGGTAGTAAACTCTTTTTGACGCTGCTCTTAGCAGTATCTTTCTGGGTATATCTCGAGCAAGGGAAACAAAAGAAAAACAAATGGGACTTTATCAAACGAAAATGAAAAGGAACCGCCAACAAAATGAAAGGACAACCTACTGAATGGGAGAAGATATTTGCCAATGACACATCCAATATATATAAGGAACTCATACAGCTTACCCTCCCCCAAAAAATCTAATTAAAAATGTCAAGACCTGAACAAACATTTTCCCCAAGAAGACATACAGATGGCCAACACACATGAAATGATGCTCAACACCATGAATCATGAGAGAAATGCAAATTAAACCACAATGAGTTATCAACTTGCACCTGTCAAAATGGCTATTATTAACCAATCAACAAATAACGAGTGCTGGCCAGGATGTAGAGAAATGAGAATCCTCATGCACTGTTGGTGGGATTGTAAACTAGTGTAGCCGCTATGGAAAAATACAGGGTGTCCCCAAAAAAATGTATACACACTGTAACAACAGAGAGCTCAATTTTGAAAGTGAAATATATTTTAATAAACACTGCCTTTATAATTATTCAAAGTGTGTGCATATATATTTTTGGGGACACCTTATATATGGAGGTCCCTCAAAAAATTAAAAATAAAGCTGCGATATGATCCAGCAATTCCACTTCTGGGTATTACCTGAAGAAAACAAAATCACTAATTAGAGAAGATATATGCACACCCCTAATGTTCATGGCAGCATTGTTTACAATGGCCAAGTTACAGAAGCAACTTAGGTGTCCATTGATAGATGCATAAAGAAGATGTGTATATATGCATGGATGTTTATGTGTACACACACACACACACGTGGAATATTACTCAGCAATAAAAAAGAATGAAATCTTGCCATTTGCAACAACATTGGATGGGCCAAGAGGGTATTATGCTAAGTGAAATAAGACAGAAACACAAGTACTGTGTGATCTCACTTATAAGCAGAGTCTAAAAAAACAAAATAAATGAATAAACAAAACAGAAACAGTCCCCTAGATACAGAGAACAAGCTGATGGTTGTCAAAGGGGAGAGAGAGGGTGAGGAGATGAGAATAAAAAATTATTGCTGAGGGGCACAGAGCCAGCCATACGCCTCTATTTTCAAAAACAGAAGTTTAACAAAATTACCCCTCTTACTGAAACTGATACTGCTTATGCAGAACCCACAAGTTATTATTTGATAAGGCTAAAATTCGGTTTCACTGTATTTGTGAGAACCAGGATGGGAAAAACGAAAACTTTTTTCATTTAATGAATGTTTTAGATTTCTTTAAAATGTTTCTATTTTATATTTTTAAATCTTCAGAACGTGACCTAGTCAATTATGCAAATATACTTCATTGAATAAATGAAGACAGAAATATCTAGATGACATATTCCAAGTAGGCAACTAAATATGTAGAACTGTCTATAATAAATGTACTTCTCCCAACCACACACAATAGTCTCGGATACATGCAATGAATGCAGATTGCTGTCCTTCCAAAATTTGTATTTTGAAGAAAATATAAATAAAAAATTAAGTTACATCAGATTGCAATAATCTTGTGTTAAAATTCTCTGTGGCCTCTTTTTCAGAATAAAATCTAAAACTCCACAATGGCCTACAAAGTACAAAACACAATTTGCTCTTTAGCTGACTCTATGGCCTCATTCCTTTCTTTTCCTAGTTCCACTCCAGCACCTCCTCCTTTCTTGCTGGTCACCACACACGTCAGGCACACTCCTGCTTCTACCTTTGCACTTGAGAGTTCCTCCTGCCTGGCAAGTCTTCCCCAAGGTATTACATATCACCCTCTCAGATCATTCTGATCCCTAACTACCCCTCCATCCGAGTAGCCATCCTAGGCCACCCTAGAATGGAACAGTTCTCTCCAGAACTTCCTATTCGCTTACCCTATTTGTTTTCTGCACAGCATTTATCACCACCTGGCATTTTAAAAATGGTTTTGTTTTTTTTTTATATTGATTTTAGAGAGTGAGGAAGGGAGAGGGGGAGAGAGAGAAACATTGATCGCATATTCCCTGACCAGGAATCAACCGAGCCACACCGGCCAGGGCCACCTGGCATTTTATATCGGTTGATTTTTCTCCCTGGTGTGCAAGCTCTAGGAGAGCAGGAACTTTGTTTTGCTCAATGTAGGGTACGCAAAGAATTCTCAATACATTTTTGTTAAATGAAAGACTATTTTTCGCTGGTAGACTGCAATATACTCGTCTTATTTCTCTCTCTCCTCTTTCTACAATTTGACAACTTCACATTCTGTTCCTACCCAAAGAGGCAATCGGAACGGGAATATTGATGTTGGTTCCACCCGGTCAAGGGCGAGCCAGCGTGTGCGCGGGTGCGCATGCGCACTGGGTAAGACGAGGCGCTTTCCCACGCGAGGACCTGCTGCGCCGAGACAGGCAGCGCCCAGGGACACGGCCGCACGTTACCTGCGCGATGGGAACTGCACACAGGGTGACCCCGAACCCGACGGCCACCGCTTTGGGCCATGGCCTGATCGACTCCGAGAAACAGCGCCTCCTGAAGCTGGCCCCGGCAGGAACTCGCTGTCTGTACCTAGACACACGCGGCACATTTGGTAAGTCACGGCCGCAGCCTGTGAAAGCCCCTGCGGCTCGCACTGGGCCTCGCGGGGCCGACGGGAAGCTGCGGGTTCGGCCTTCCGGACGGCGGGGCGCGGAGGGTGGGGAAGCCCGGGGCTCGCTAAACGGGGCCCCGCCGCCCGGCTCCCACGAAAGGGCCGCCGGGCGGGGAGACGGGCCCAGCGGTCCCGGAGCTCAGCAGGTAACCCTCACGCCCGCATAGGCTCCCGCGGGCAGGGTTTCGCTCCGGACCACACCTGGCGCCCGCAGGAGCCGCGGGGGCTGACCGGTCCCGGGGCCCCTCCGCCCTCAAGGAAGACTCCCTCCGCTGCCCGCCGCCCGCCCGGGCTTCGAGAGGCGGCGGGAGCTCGCGGGGAGGCCGAGCCGCCCCAAGAAGACGGCCGGAGGCTGGGCGGGCTCGCTTTCCGCAGGTGGAATCACAGAACAGCCGTCAGGGACGGACGGACGGGCCGGCCTGACCCGGCCGAGGGGGCGGGAGGCCCAGGCCCGGCGGAGGCCGGAC